AGGGGATAGACATCTTTCTTGGTAATATGGTTGAGATGGCGGTAATCAACACAGAATCTCCAGCTATTGTCCTTCTTTTTAACAAGTACAACGGGTGAGGACCAGGGACTAGATGAGGGTTCGATTATGCCCTTATCAAGCATTTTATCGACTTCTCGCTGTATAATAGCACGCTCCGGGGCTGACACACGGTAGGGTCGTCGGCGAATGGGTCGAGCGTCACCGGTGTCGATGCGATGGGTTACTACAGATGTCTGGCCCAAATTACGGTCGCCGAAGTCAAAGATGTCCTGATAAGGAGCAAGCACACGGCAGAAAGCAGAGACTTGTTCAGAGGTGAGCTTGTCAGATAGCATTGGCTTGAAAAGGTCGGAACAGGAACGTGACGAGAACGACGTTGATGAAAAATCGGGTGGCGAATTGGTGGTTAGAGCGGAAACTGTGTGGTCGACCAGTGGTGTAAGATGCGCAAGTGACATGCCGCGAGGAATAACTTGCGCTGAGAGGCCGAAATTGAGGACGGGAAACGAAGTTCGGTTGTCCTTAACGGTAACCACCGTGTTGGGGAGTGCAACATTGCGTGTCATGGCGACGTCAGAAATCGGGGCAGCAACATAATCACCATCGGGTACTGCAGGATATGGCGAGAGTTGGACTTGGACTGCGGCTTGCGGCGGAAGTCTAAGGAAATCGACAGAGCGTAGACGAGGTGGGCTGGTAGAGACGGTCTCCGAAAAGGATGGTAGTTCGAGCTGAAGAAGACCTTTGGAACAGTCAATGAGCGCAGCGTGTGAAGTCAGAAAGTCGAGTCCAAGGATTAGGTCATGAGGGCAATTTTCCAGTACAGCGAACAAAACTGAAGTTTGATGCTTAGAAATTGTTAATCGCGCAGTGCACATTCCAAGCACAGCAGGAGTACTCCCATCCGCGGTACGAACGGTAGGTGCAATCGCAGGCGTCAGAACTTTTTTGAGGCGGCGGCGGAGGTCTGAGCTCATCACAGATATTTGTGCACCGGTATCAATAAGAGCCGTTATAGGTAAATCATCAACGAGAATTGTTAGGAGGTTGCACCGCTGGTCGGGAGTAATCAGAGGATTTGCAGTCCAAGTCGTGTATGCAGCGTCACCTCCGGGGGCTGCACCGGCTAGTTTTCCGAGCGACGGTCGTAAGGAGACCGAGAACGGCGGGGTTGGGGCGAGCGGGACTGACGACGCACGGGCGATGGCGAGCGGCTGGTCCGACGTTCTGGATTATACTCTGCACCTGTCTCAGCACGGTAGGACGGGGCATAAGGTGCACGTTCAGAGCGAGGCCGCCAATCATAGAAGCTCGGTCGAGGTGATGAGGTCCACCGGCTGCGGCAATGGCGAGCGATGTGTCCTATCCGATGGCACGTAAAACATATGGGCCGATCATCATGAGTGCGCCATTCAGCTGGGTTTCGTCGTGGCGCGAACGTGCGGTTCGGAGTGGCAGCCGCAACGACTGGAGCCGAGCTGGAAGTAGCAGAGGCATTTTGATGAGGTGGCGAAATGCCCATATTCGCGATCTCTTGGCGAACCACGGCCTGTATCATTGAAACAGCACCGAGGTTGTGTCCTGGCGCGCTGACGCTAGACATAGCGGGAGCCATGGCCTCGAGTTCCCGACGGACTATTCTGGTGACGTTTTCTGGCGCTGGTGGTTGGTGTAGTGTGGGCAAATCTTCGCAAGAGGACGTAGCCGCCGTGTTGGGAAGGCGGTCAAATCGGTGAACTATGCGCCTACTTTTTGCCTGTTCGAAGCGACGACATGCTTCGATGACCGACTCCACCGTCGAGCAGTCCTTGCACAGGAGAAAATTGAAGGCGTCATCCGCAATTCCTTTCAGGATGTGTCCGACTTTGTCCTCGTCGAGCATGTCCTTGTCGACCTTGCGGCACAAAGCCAACACGTCCTGGATGTACGCGATGTACGGCTCCGTGGATGTCTGGGCACGAGTCGCAAGCTCTTTCTTTGCGGCCACTTGACGTCCGATGGGTTTCCCAAATAGATAGCGCAATTTCTGCTTACAGACGTCCCAGCTAGTCAACTCTTCTTGATGTGTCTCGTACCAGAGTTTTGCCGTGCCATGCAAGTAGAAGATGATGTTCGCCAGCATAAGCGTTGGACCCCAATGGTTGCTGCTGCTGACGCGCTCATATTGAACAAGCCAGTCATCGACGTCTATGCCACTTGTGCCGTTGAATGGACCTGGGTCACGAGGTTGCACCACAACGATCGGCTGCGGGGCTGACGGATCTTGTTGACATTGAGTAGCCTGGTCAGTCATCGTGGTAGCTGCAATGCGCCGTCCGCTGCGAAGATCCAGCTCGTTGGGCTGTATAGCGAGTGGTACCCCGCACCTTCCACCAATGATGTTACGGGGAATAAAGTATACACTGATGAACAAATGTGTACTGGCGAATACACTGGCGAGCTAATGCGTACGACGCTGCTACAGTCCGAGCACGTTCCCGTTCAGCACTTCGTCGTCGTCATCCTCAGGCATCTACTTAGCCCGTGACAATATTGGGAGTCAGTATCTGTATGGTGTGTTCAGTTTACAAACTGATTCGGCACTTGAAGGGATGGACAGTGCGTCAAGTGACCTCACAGCTGCAGTTCTGTTCATCCGGGTCTTGCCATCGTGGCTCGCGGGTGTCTAATCCCCAAATGCTTTCACATCGGTATTCTGGTGGTAGATCACTTCAGCTTTGGTGGAAAAACTTGCAGTGTGTGGAAGCCCGCATACTTTTTCTTCTGCTCGAGCCATACTGCAATGCCTAAGGCTGACCTCAGTTCTTCGCTTGTTGGCCCTTTGTTCAGTTTATTTCTGGCACCTCAGCGTCAGCCAGACTTTTGAATATATACCGCTTTTAATGCGTGTTGATTGGTGTGTTGTAGAATAGCGGCAAAGTTGTCGCTTTAGTTATTGCGCAATGCGGGTTTCAATTACAGGTAAAGTAATGCTGTCCCCGAAACTGAATGTTTTGGTATACGGCCACTGCTTCAACTCTTTATCTTAAGCCAAGACGTAAACCAAGAAGTGAAAACACAATGTGCAGCAGTGAAATGTACACACCTCTTACGTTTTGTTCGCAGTAAAAGGAGGCCCTGCTTATCTTTTGCAAGAGGGGCCCTCCAACAAGAGAGTAGCTAGGTCAATATTCAGCAGCTTTGCGTAGAGCCGATTGTTCATCCCACCTCGTGTTTCCTAGTACAACTCCGTTTTCACTCACAATTCAGTCATCATCAAAGCTCGAGAAAGTGAGCGTTGTTTTCTAGCCACCTCCACATTGTTCAATACTCCCAAACTGATGTGTGGGTGCTTAGCACTGAAGTTGTAATCTACTGTAAACTGAATTCCTGGTGCTATAATTTGCTATAACCTAATTTGTCGTGTGAAGAAACTTGTAGGTGGTTGCTTGAATTATTCTTTCGCCTCTAGAACAAATCTGTCTGCGGGCCGCCAGATGTGTGGTTAGTCGGCCTGACTTGCTCTATGTATACGCTTGGTCAAAGTGTGCAGCAGCACATTCTGTTCACGTATGTTCTGGTTGCGTACTGAATGCGTATGACAACACGCATTTAAACGTTGAACTATGAAAACGAAACTACTTAGTAATTACTCGTTTGACAATTACCATTTGTCGTGTCTGTTTTATGTGACAGAAGGAAAGTGTTGAAAATCAGGGGCTCGTTTTTCTTCGTTAAATACAACGCTAATGATAACTAAAAGACTTGCTAGTTCACATTAGCTTCAAGTAACAAAAAGACCAAGCCATCGTCTTCATCGAATTAGCTAAATACGCTTACTCATTCTGACGTTGACAGCCGCTATTCGTCTCGATCAGTGGTTTACGAAGTATGGACCCTGCGACAAATTTTCCCACATTCAACGCACTAAACGTTCTGGCGCAGCTAGGTAGTCAAATAAAGCATCACAAAAGAAGTCAAATTTGGATGCAGACTCCGGTTTGCATTCAGCTACCACAATGGGTGCTTATTCAGCCCATTACCCTGAGAAACAATTCGCTTCGTTGGCAAGGAGAGCTTGGATGGTTTTCCATATGCGGTCGCCCGCACAGCCGGTGCCTTTAACATTAAACTGTGATGCCAAAGCGTTTCTCTGCAGAGTTAGCAGGATTTATCTTGTGCTGTGTGACAATAAAAAAACTCTTTTATTTGCTTTATTCATCGCATAACACATTCAAAGGTCTATGGTTTGTAAGTACGTTGTGAGCGCGGTAGCTATTATTATACGTTACAAGCCAGCAGTGTAAACCCACTTGAGTTCGAAGTGTGAATTAAGTCTTGCTCCCCCATACGTTATCTGCTTGAAATAACAGCTGTGCGAACCTTCTTGTGGCACATAAGATTACGTATTTGTTATGTGCACTAAGACAAACCGGACATTTGGCGCAGAATGCACAACCTTTCTCTATCATAGGGGGTTTTTGCCATGAGTAAACCGGTGACGTTAGTGCCATTCATGACATTCAGATTGGTTGGATATTTTTCTAACGAAGAAGTTTGCTGCATTGGCGGGAGCAGCTTCCTTTTTTTATGTCACCCAACTTAACGAATGCCTCCGCTTAGAAGTCGCTCTTATTACGCTAATAAGGGGCGTTTCCCAGTTGTATTTATGAATCAGAGGTACCTGAACGGTGCGGGTTCTTGCGTGATCTTGCACTGGAGCTTTGGTTGATTCATGGCATATAATAACCCCCCCCCTCACACACTTTCTCGAGGTATGTCACGGTCATGAAGTTTACCATGACACGTTTATTTGCCCATGAATCTCCATGTTAAAATTATCTAACGAGAAAAGACAGTCCGCGCAGCTTTATATTCATGTTAGTATTACGTGGAATGACTGTACTGTGTTCACATAACCAACAAAGTGGAAGAACGCACATCTTATAATGCGTAGGTTGATAGGTCATAATGAAAGTACTTGCGAAAAATTCTCTTACCTCGTTGCATAATGGCGCAGCCTTCATAGTGGTCCCAATAAATCATCTGGTAGTTATCAACTTCATCTAAAGCAAGTAAAATAAATCGTTGAAACCAGTAGGGAATGTATGTAGACTCCATCTAACATATCAGGAAATCAACTTTTCTTCAGCGCGTCCTGGCGGCTGGCACTAAAATTTCATTGACGTCGTCATTTTCCTTAATTGAAGCTTTTCGAAAAGGTTCAAACGTCTAATTGAAGCCTTTCAAATGTGTAAGCCAAAAGCACAGTATACAAGCCTTTATTACTTTGAGCCCATCAACCTACTTCTATTACGTCCCAAGTTCTTACCTGCGACTCGCCAACCGACTGGTGAATGGTTGCATTACCATGGCTGTATTACCATGGCAAATCAAACGCACGTAAAACTTTCTATGGCCGCACAGCGTTTCGAGGACAATAATCTCTCTAGGGATAATTAACGCGGCCATTTTTGCCTGCGTGCCTGCCTGCCCTGCCCTGCCCTGCCTTGCCCGGCCCTGCCCGGCCCTGCCCGGCCCTGCCCGGCCCTGCCCGGCCCTGCCCGGCCCTGCCCTGCCTGCCCTGCCCTGCCTTGCCCGGCCCTGCCCTGCCCTGCCCTGCCCTGCCCTGCCCTGCCCTGCCCTGCCCTGCCCTGTCTTGCCCTGCCCTGCCCTGCCCTGCCCGGCCCTGTCCTGCCCGTCCCTGCCCGGCCCTGCCCGGCTCTGCCCGGCCCTGCCCTGCCCTGCCCTGCCCTGCCCTGCATGCCTGCCTGCTTACCTGCCTGCCCAGTAATTTAGCCCCCTGGCGAAAGTTCCCGCCCATGCTCACCCCCTATACCCGTATCTATCTGGTAGCTGCGTTCATACTTGTGAATATTACCTATTCAAAGGCAAACAAAACGCATAGTTGAGGCGCAGCATCTATACGTAAAATCAGGGACTGTGTTTTTTTTAGTTAGAAAATGAATAGACATTTAATTCTAAAGGCAGCATTGCAGATAGTACTGTGCTGACCATGTCACGCTAAGAACGAAAAAGCGAGTGTTTCCTACGCTTCACTTGGAAGACACGGTGCGGCCACCTACCAGTAGCTCTCATTCTAAAACTGACTTTTTTTTCTTCACCTTACTGCCAGATTGCACCATACTTCTCGCAGCACTCACCGACTTTCTCGCGCATAACTTCAAATGAATGTTTTATTTCCTCTCTCCAGACAAAAGACTACCGTCTTTCGGGGCCTTTGCGGGAAAGCACATCGATAAGTGGCAATTTTTTTCCCCGTTAGCATATGTTGCAATCATACTCTATTTTGTGCTTCAATAACCAAGGTTTCGTACACGAATCGCATCATGTGCAAACATAGCTTACACGTTGACCACAGTTTCAGTCTAGGTCCTCTTGTCTTATTTTTTTTCGGGTATATATAACCTCTCAGCGTTTCCTCTTCCCTGAAAAAACAACAAAAGCAAAAAGTCGAGAAAAGGTTGTATTAACAAAGGGAAAAGTGATATGGCAGGTATTATTTTCCTAATAAAAGTTACTCTTTCATTTAGTGTAACCTAAAGAACAAATTACCAGGTTAATTAGGTGTTCAGTCCAACGATCCATAACACCAGTAAAATATTCGCAACTACCACTTATTTCTAGTGCGAAAATTTCTCATAGTGGTAAAGCCATCACATGAAAAAAGCATTTCCTTATATATAATACAGAAAATTCGCTTGCTAACGTAGCAATGAAAACTTCGGCAGATTCCAGTCATTCAAGGAGTCCGCGTCATGCGAAGCACTATACTCGGGGACAACTTTTCGTGGCAATGAAGGGAAGGTTACATAGGCGGAGCTAGAGCTCCTGTACCAATCGGCGAAGTAGTCCGCTTCGACTCGCGTTTCGTCTGTGGGCCGCGTTCATGTAATCCCACTGCACACAATTTGATACGCCTGGTTACACAGCCATTTGTAAGAGAAATTCGACACAATCTTCTTCGGCGAGTTGTCCGAATAGCTAGAGGCGAGGCGCGCTCACCTAAAAATGAAGACGCCATTTGTACTTTGAGGTTCACGTTAAGAGTGCAACGTTTTCAGACATGTGAAAACGAGTAATGACTCTTCAGAAAGCAACAACGAATTATGGTATCACCTTGGCGCGTGCACCATTTCTTTTTAAACAGCATCTACTAAAGAATAATGTTGTTCTTTTTTACTACTTTCACGCAGAAAACACGGACGAATTCATGGCACTACATTAAAGAGCGGTGGCACATGCCCACTTTGGCCATGTAGCCTTCCCTTCATTGCCACAGTATCAAACTCTGAAGCACTTCTTAGCGAGCAATTGCCATTTTGACTAATCCCAACTCAACGGGTCAGTGCGTTCATCGACCACATTATGAAATTTAAAAATAAGCGATGGGTGGATGCTCTCACGCACATATAGACGCATGGATGGACAGATGTACGGGTGGACGGGCGGATGGATGAGCAGATGCATGGATGCACCGACGGACAGAGTATACGGTTTATCCTTCGACTACATGTGTGCTACGAAAGCTTTATGAAAGGTATATGTAGCACCTGTTTTCTGCTCTCACTGAGACGAATATTTGATTTCTCTGCTAAGACAAGTAGTACATTTCATTCTTCACACAATGAATAAAATTATTGCGCAATCGTTGGAATAAAACGTATGCCCTACTTAAAAAACAACCCTGGTGTCGAATTGAATCTACTACTCTTATTACGAGGAAAAGTGCGCGAGAAAAAGCGTGCAAGAAAGGCACGAGCGCAAGCGCAGGTCATTGGGGTGAAGGTTAGTGAGAATAATATATATATATATATATATATATATATATATATATATATATATATATATATATATATATATATATATATATATATATATATATATATATATATATATGAGATCTAACAAACATTAATGCCAAGGAAGGTACAGGGGAAGTTATTAGAACCAATGGAATGTAAATAAGAAAGAAAAGTGGATGAAAAAATAACCAGCCGTAAGCAGGTTTATTTACATTCCATTGGTTCTAATAACTTCCCCTGTACATTCCTTGGCATAACTGTCTGTTAGATCTCATTAATATTGTGTTAAAACACGGAAAAACGAGCCCTTATGTATACACTTCTTTTCCTTATATATATATGAAGCGGTATGAGCCTTTGGACAGAAGATGAAGAAGCGCGAGGGCCGGGGCAGGAAAGAAGAGGAGGATGAAGTGAAAAAATAAAGCAGATTAAGATGGACGCCAGTTCCATACTGAAGCTTTAATGCTGTTCCGTTATTTTAAGTAGGAACACTACATTATTTTGGCGCAGCCGGCCATCGAAGCCATCATGTGGGTGACGTTCTTCATAGACGAGACCTCCGAGGAGATCATCTTTTCGAAGTACCAAGTTCAAGACGAAGCAGCGGTAGACCTACCTCGTGAGCTCAGCTCGGAAGAACTCGTAAACCTGGTTGTGGAAAAGGCAGCCGTAGACACTACTGAACTACGACGGAAAGGTGCTGTGAAAGTGAACTTGCGTGTGGCGACCTTCAACGACCTAGTTCTTGAACCAGCGCGTCGAAAACACTCAGGATCACGATCTTCGACGGAAGAGGTGAGCCTCGTTTTGAAAGCTTTTCAGCTGCAACAGGAACAGATGCTTCAACAAAACCAAATAATGACATCTCTTATAAGCTCTCTGAATGCTGAGAGACCGACACCTAATTTCGTAGAACCTGATGCTTTCGACGGTGTGTCTTCAAATCCAGAAAGTTGGCTTGATTTCTACGAATATGCCGCTGGAAAAAACAAGTGGCTCTCTGATGAGGCTAAAATCACCAACATGCGCGTATATATATATATATATATATATATATATAACAGCACAAAGCAACACATGGTTATTCATAGATGGACACATAGATAGCTTGTCTCAATGTTGTGCAATATAACTGACGGCGCTGCAACGCACGTGCCGCCATCTTTATGAATGAAAAAGCCTCTTTAGGGCGAAATGTTTGAGCGCCATGTACATAGGCTCCAGTACACCTTAAAAATGCCACAATGTGAAAATTTCGGGGTCTGATACAAATACATCTCTGAATGATCACATAGCTGTTGTGGGACGTGATTTGATTGATATGTAGGGTTTAATGTCCCAAAACCACCATATGATTATGAGAGACGCCGTAGAGAGACGCCGGAAATTTCGACCACCTGGGATTCTTTAACGTGCACCCAAACTTGAGCACACGGGCCTACAACATTTTAGCCTCCATCGGAAATGCAGCCGACGCATCCGGGATTCGATCCCGTGACCTGCGGGTCAGCGGTCGAATACTTTAGCAACTAGACCACCACGGGGGGGCGTTATGGGACGTGAAACACAACCACTCTTACTATAACAAAACGAAAAAAAGCCGGTGATAATTCTTTGCACGCGGAGCAACTTGTTCGTTTGATGCAGATACTCGCCGCATTTAAGATTGCTTGAATGTCGGCGCGAGATAAGAAGACGACCGAGTCTTCAGAGGTACTCTGTGTTTTAATAGCTTGATGATGAAACAGGTTCAGATATAAACAACATGATATTTTCCGTATGAGAAAAACGTTGCGTACAAATTGCCATTTTCACAATAAACAAACCAGTGCTAATGGTTTACTTCATGATCACTGCAAGTTCTTGTTTAGCTTTCAATCTCCATGCTAAGGTCTGCACAGACACCACCCACGTTGTTCCTAGACGACAAAGAAATCCTAACACAAAAAAGGCTTCTCTCTTTTTTGTTAAATCAGGTGAGAGAAGGCCTGGATACGCAAAATGGAGGTCACTGGTTCATGCTTATCACCAGCCTTCATTTTAGAACACCAATTACTTTTTGCTTCAGATTCTTCAATCTTTCGAGAAGCCTGAGGGTAATTGATCCTCCAGTTGCATCGTGTCGCTGTCTGTGTTAGAGGAAAGTGTGCTCTAAGCTTGAAAGATAGGACGGTGCCAGAAAGTATAAAGAACGTTTCTTCACGAGTAAGCATGGGGGAATGCGCTTTGACTAGACCATCGGTTATGTTGCCCAAGCTTGAGATAGTAGTATCTAACCGCTAATCTGTATAAGTTTTTGTGCTCCTTCGTATGAATTCTTTGTACAATACCAAGAGAAGCAACCATTCACTTTCTTGCCTGCACCAGTGCGCATGCCTCATAGTTATTGATGTTTTTATTCTGTTTTTCTTAATAGACCACAAAAAAGCACAGCGCCCAGTTAAGTGGGGAGCTTTCAACTCATTACTGCTCATTGCGCCGAAATTGTTCCAACAGAGAAGAATAGATGTGTGCAGCCTCGTACCACAATACGCATCTTGTCTCTGTGATTGGTGTGGTATGGTATGTTACATTGGTCATCAGAAGTTGTATGCTTTGCATAGAGGTAGGTGACTTTATGTGTTTCATATGTACATAAGTATGATTTACATCATCAGGATTTGGTGCAACATGAAAGTGAAACGTGTCCTAGCCCAAGTACTTGAATGTATAATAAATCTTGAATACAAAATTCACCACTATGCCAAATATTGTTTGGCAGCTACAGAATCGCTTGATGTTGACGCACCCACATCAACGCCTGGTGCATATCTCCATCCCAGCGACAAACCTTAACCAGCATGTGGCCAACCTCTCTGCCTTTCTTTCTTTTCTCGTTTTTCTTCTCTAGCTAGTGTTGGCTAAGATATTGACACCTAGCCTTACCGTGCCTTAAAAGTCTTCCAACACTATCGAAGCTCAAAGACAAGAGAGTGGTTTCCTTTGCGTCTCCATCAAGCTTCCCACAAGTTGGTGAACACAGTTTTTTTTCATCTCCATCAATTTTTCCAGAATAAAACATTCACTCCAATGGTGCAAAAACGCGCAAAAACAAAAAGCTTAAATCAGATGACAGCGCAAAATACTTGAGTGAAATAAGGCCCAATTTTCGTGCGACTGCCCACAAAAGCTTACATTGTACCAGACAATTGGCATCTGGTGTCCCTTTTATATATAATTATTTAAAGGGTTTCTTTCCCCATGAGGTCACGTGAATGGAGCGCTAGATTGCCAAATAATAGAAAACGCTAGGACCGAGTAACGCGCCCGTTCTTTATGTTTTCAGAGGCCATTGAGAGAAGCTTAAAAGAAGAGAATCGGGTGGCAAAAGTTACCATCATCGCACTGTTGGAAAATGCTGGCTTCAACTATGTTTTACAGGGGAAACGGCGCACGGGGGTGACGAGAAGTTATAAAACTGTGATGCCGTAAAAATGCTTATATGTATTCTACGCTATTTGTAACGGGGATGTTGTAACTGTGCTAGAGATGACCGAGGCACATAAGTGTATTTTGGTAGAATAAAAAAAGCGCACAGTCTCAACTGGTTCTTCATTATTGTAGTGAAAATACAAGCTTTA